ACTTTTTAGAAACGAAATAAATATACCGTATTTTATATTAGAAGGCGTTTTCTAAAGTAAACAGGACTTTTTGAATCTAGCGCCTCCTGCTATCTTTATCGATTGTCCAATGAGAATTTCATGACATTTCATTGATTCGAAAAAAGAGCCAACATAACTTTTTTTCTTTTTAAATTGGTAAAACATTTACCGAAAGTTTTAACTGATGAAACAAGTTTATAGCGATGATTGCCTATCCCGTAGCAGAGTGCACTAGTAGTTTCAACCTTTTCAAAGTGGTCATGAGGACATAAATGACGATGAACATGTGGGCATATCAAAATCCGTGATCACCGGAAATTCCATTGAAAGATCTCCAAAACATCGATTTATCGCATTTTAACCGAACATTTAGGCTTACGAAAGGTGTGTGCACAGTTTGTTCCGCACAAATTGACTGACGACCAAAAATTGCTCAGAATCTAACATTCGAAGGACGATTATCATGGACGAAATCACAATTGAATCATTAGCCACTCCTGGTATTCACCTGATATGGCGCCATGCGCCTTCTTCCTTTCCGGAAAAAAGCATTTGCCCATTAAAGGAAAGCGTTATGCAGACGTAGAGGCCATTCAAAAGGCTGGCACCGGCATACTGGCGGTCATACCGGAAAACGAGCTAAAACACTCCTCCTTCTACATGCTTTTGGACCGTGCAAAAAGCTATATTGAGGCAGAAGGATACTATTTTGAATAAAATAAATGGATTTTGCCGAAAAACCATTTGTTATGTTTTTTTTAAGTCCTGTTTACTTTGGAAAACACCTTGTATAACGATGCAAATAATTTATACTTCTTATAGACTATACGTAAAAACTTAATCTAGAACTTTATGACAATATGGTAATTTTTTGTATGTAACAAGTGGCCAATAAAACATTCTACATATTTCCATCATTAAATGCTTAATACTGAGGTAGGATCTCAAACGCTCAATCTCCTGATTACCGGCGGAGTGCTCCAACAGACTGTAATTTTTTGTATTTGTTGTAATTATTTTTATTATACTCTCGCTAAAGAGAGTATTATAGTTTTGTTCACATAACAGTTGTTCGTAAGTACTAAAATTGAAAGAGTCAGATATAGGGTTATATATACCAAAGTGATCAGAGTGACGAGTAGAGTTGAAATCCGGTTGTCCGTCCGTCTGTTCGTCCGTCCGTGCAAGCTGTAACTTGAGTAAAAATTGAGATATCATGATGAAATTTAGTACATGTATTTCTCGGCTCCATAGGAAGGTTAAGTTCGAAGTTGGGTAAAATCAGCCCACTGCCACGCCCACAAAATGGCGGAAATCGAAAACTTATAAAGTGTCATAACTAAGCCATAAATAAAGATATGAAAGTGAAATTTGGCACAAAGGATCTCACTAGGGAGGGGCATATTTGGACGTACTTTTTTGGAAAAGTGGGCGTGGCCCCGCCCCCTACTAAGTTTTTTGTTCATATCTCAGAAAGCTATGTGAACCAAACTCTAAAGAGTCGTTTCTTTCAGGCAGTTCCATATCTGTCTCTTATACACATCTAGATGTGTATAGACATGTACGATATATATGGGTGAAATCGGTTCACAACCATGCCTTCTTAAATATAACACTATTTTGAATTCCATCTGATGCCTTCTCTGTATAATATATACATTAGGAACCAATGAYGATAGCGGAATAAAACTTTACACAAATACGGTATTTGAGCTAAGGTATCCCTTGTGGAAGAATTGTCGTGATCGGGCTATAACTTTTCAATGCAATTAAAATTAATGAAAATACAATTCAATACTCAAAGTACACAAATTGATCTAATCTAATTAATTTACAGCAAAATAAAGAAATATGTAAATGACGGATAATGAAATCTCGATTATCACTTTATCATGCGAGAGTATAAAATGTTCGGTGACACCCGAACTTAGCATTTCCTACTTGTTTTATATGAAGTTTTTACATTTCTTGAGAACTGGATACTAAGCTTAAAAAGTTAATTAAGGCGTTTAAAATATACCATATTTAATCTGCATCATTATGGTATAATTTAATTTTTTGTTAAAAGCAATAAACAGCAATCTATAATCAAAGTTGAAAATAGTATATATGTATAAATAAAACTGTAGTAGTATAACATATAAATTTTTATTACAGCGTTTTTTGTTTCGCGCTACCCGTTTCGACCGTAAGGGTGGAATTACTCAACAGATTTTGCCATGATGGTTTTGTTGTGACCGTACACTTAGGAGGTAGGAAAGTACTGTGAATGGTCACTTTTGCTACTCCCTCATACCATGGTGCCTAGTTATATCAGGTGGAAGCATCTAGGCACTTTCTTCTTTACTTCCCAGTTTTCGCCAGACTAATGTCGAGAGAACTAGAAGGGAACTGAATTTTATCAGCCAATGTGGAACATCCAAACAATTTTAGGGAAATGTTTTCACAAAATAGACGACTGGTATAATGAAATAGCTGCATCCGCATGCTTAGTAGAAAGTAGTCTCGCTTTATAGGTATTGAGTTTGCCTCCATTACGCCTAACTAAATACCTTCAACTGTATGTAGTTGCAGACTTTCTTACGGTTAGCCAATGGAACAAAATGTCGTCGTTTCGTGCTTTTTCGAGTTCTTCATTACGTTTGATTTGAATGTATATATTTGTAGTTTTGTTTATAATATTAAATGATTTTGAAATTTTTTCAACAAAGAATAGTTTGTATTTTAAAACATAATGCACTGTTAATGAGGCAGAACGTCCAATTGAATAGTAACATATTTAAATATTATATGACTTTGTTTCAAACGAAGCTCAAGTTGTATTAAAGCTAGCAAATATAAATTTATCAATGTTTGGTTTTATGGAAATGCTTCATCTATGTATTAATCTTTGGCTGGCAACTGCAAATTTGTTACCAACATTTTCTTAAACAAATAAAATTACATATGTTAACTCTTACATGTATAACCTTTCCACCACCATCATAAAGCAATATTCTTTGCTCTGTTGACTAAATAAGTGCTGAATGGATGATTGGGGCGAATAAGGTGAATGAGTGTATTTTTCCAGTTCATGTATTTTCTTAGAAATTGCATGACACAACTCACAGACACCTGTTTGCGTTCCCAGCAGAGCCGGAAGTGTTCGGTGGAGTGGGCAGCGAGAGCTTTTCCAAACAATTCGGAATAGAAATGCAACATAAATAATCCCTCGTTGGTTTTCTTGGGCTTTGTCATTGTCTATGTAGTCTTTATTGCTACGTAATTGTGTTTTCTGCAAAATTCTCATCATGTTGCTATTCATAAAAAACCATGCAGATATATGTACATACATATGTATGAATGTACCATATGAAAACAGTAAATTTGTATGGACCTCTTCATCTGTTATGATATAATATAGTGTTGCGCTAGAAACAGTGCTTGTGCTCGGGTTTCTTAAGCTGTGGAAGAGCATTATTTAATTTTATACCCTGAACAGGGTACATATGTATATTAAGTTTGCCACGAAGTTTGTGACACCCAGAAGAAAGCGTCGGAGACTATAAAGTAATATATAAATGATCAGTATGTTGAGCTGAGTCGATTTAGCCATGTCCGTCTGTCAGTATACATATATACGAACTAGTCCCTAAGGTTTTAAGATATCATTTTGAAATTTTGTAAACGTCATTTTCTCTTCAAGAAGCTGCTCATTTGTCGGAACTGCCAATATCGGCCCACTATAACATATAGCGGACACAAGTTCTTATATGGAAAACTTTCACATTTAACAAGATATATTCACGAAATTTGGTATAGATTATTCTTTAAGACAACAATGTAATTTCCGAAGAAATGGTTCAGATCGGTTAATTATAGCATATAGCTTGCGTACAAACTAAACACGTAGTTACTAATATAAATGCACCTGTGAGGGGTATTTAGCTTAGGTGCAACTGAAGTTAACGTTTTTTCTTGTTCCGTTTAATATTTACAATCACGTGTCCTGTTATTTCCATCTTTTCCCACAACTACATTTGGCAATTGAAGCTTTTCATTGGCGTAATGCGTTTTTATGGTCGTAAATGATTCAACAAGAATATTTAACCCGTTGGACAATCAAGCATCAAGTCGTTTTTAATAATTTTTTTTTACTTTAGTTAAACTTGATATTAAATAAATAAATATATTCAATATGGTTAACTTTCCTTCTTCGGTTTTTATTTATTTCACACTCTATTCGGAACATCTTATGTATTAAACCATAATCCTAACCGGATTTTTCATAGATTTCAAACCAATGAATAATGTAATAAAATCGATAAGAATAATGCCTGACGATGGGCAAATTAATCGGCGTTATATTCATAGGAATTTCAGATACGATTTAGTAAGATCATGGAAACACTGTAATATTTAGTTAAGAGAATTCAGTTAAGTAAGGTCTTGCATAAGTTACTGGCGTTGATCTTATTTAGAGAAGCTTGAGCAGAAGTTCTTCAGTAACCATCAAACATACGAAAAAAAATTACGTGATATGTCAATCGTATGTGGTGATTGGCATTATAACATACGATAGCAAACGGATCGGAAGGTATTTTCAATTCACAATAGTTATTAAATTCCACATTGCTTTGGATCGTATTTTTAGGTCACAATAGATGTGAAACTGTCAAAACTCTTGCAAACTTTTCAATAAACTAACGAAAGCTAATTAAATATCAAAATTGTACCGACTTTGTTGTCTTATTTGAGCTCTAGTGAAAGTAATGGGGATAAAAAAATAGTGCGGAGATAGCTAAGAGATCGTAGCAATAGCGTAGGTATAAAAAAAAAATTTATGAAACCTCATTAACAAAATTTTCTTTGTAGATGTATCGTTTACCAAAGCATTAGAATCTTAAGAAAACGTTTGATAGGATATAGTAAGAGGTGGAGGCATCAAAAGTGGAAAATTTGAGTGTTGATTGGATTGTTTACATTAACGTCATACGAACCTTTGTTCCGTCGACTAGAATTATTGGATGCAGCAGCCTCATAGACGTCCTTATCAGTAATTTCTTCTTTAATTATCGTCTTGCCGTCAAGAGCCATCTGCAAGCAAAAAATCATTATTATTTCGATGTTGGGTGTATAACGCCGACAACCAAAATCTCGAAATTTAGAATTCCGACAATAAAATACCGACAAATGAAACACCGACAAATCAAGAAAAGGTGGCGTTGTTCGTTCGAGGTCCTCCAGCCTTAGGCCTCCGGCCACGAACACGCTCAGGATCATAACCTTTTCTGTAGAATTTTCTTTCTGTGCTTTGATAGAAAATAGGGCACACAAGATAAAATATTTTTCGCATGTCGGCATTTTGGTTTGTCGATATTTTCATTTTTCGGTGTTCTGACTTGTCGGTATTTGGTATTCCGATATTTTAAGTGTATCCCATGGAATTTATTTCAGTTTTCTTGATTTTATTTACTATTTGATTTTAGTTTAGGTATTTATAACCCTGATTCAAGTAGCCCGTTATATTTAGATTTTCTAAATAAATACTATAGTTATACACAATCTCGTTTGATGACAAATGATACTTTTCCCACAGTACAATTACGCTTTCGAAGGGGTTCTAATAGTAAAATAATTTTACTAAAATTGCTATCTGACATGCAAATCAGTACCGAGAACTATTCGTGAGCTAAAAGAGACGCTGATAATACTTCGTACGAAGACAAAAACTGAGGAGCTTGCAATATTGTATTAGACAGTGTTATTACAGTTGCAAAACCAATATAGTCGGTTCCGCAAAGGAGAATGGCATTAGTTTGCACTAATGAAGTTAGTGCGTTAATAACCTATGAAATAGCTTTGGTACAGTCTCACGTTGTGTATATAACTGTGCCCAAAAAATAAGATGACATTGTATTTATTTTGAAAATTCTTTATTTATTCTTCCAAATCAATTTTATCCCCTTCAAAGTAATCCCCACTAGATTTAGTACATTATGCCAACGGATTTTCCAATCTTCGAAACAGTGGTTGTAGTCACTTTCCGGGATGGCCTTTAGTTCCGTCTTCGCTGCGGCTTAAATCTCCTCTATCGTATAAAAACGGTGTCCCCGAATTCGCACGGCGCCAGATCAGGTGAATACGGGATTGCGGAACGATATGTGTTGAGTTTTTGGCGGAATGATCATTTAATGCAAATTCTTTGCTCAACAAATTTCGRCATCGCAAAAAACGAAAAACTCACTTTTAGCAGCTCACAAAACGACACGTATCTCAAACACTAAGGACAGTACTACCAACCTAAAAAAAATAATTCTCCAAATCCTTGCGCGCAGTTAAAATTCAAATGTCACCTTACTTTTTGGGCACAGGGCACGTACATATGCATACTGATTGTAAAGTTATGATCGACCATAAAGAGAAAAGGTGATTTTACCCCCTTGGGGATAATTTGTGCGGGGTTCCAACCGCGGTACGCAAATTATGCTCTCCAATGAAAATGAAAGGAAAAACATCTGCATCGACAAAATAAATATCCACTGGGAGCAGTGGGCAGAGTTCATGTCGGTCCGGAGTGAGTTGTTGAAGCGTTGCTATGCTATTTTCCTGCATATTAATGTATGTAAAAATATGTAAGTGCTGGCGGCAGCTGGTGAATGCCTCTTTCCAAGCCTCCATCTACTGCTCTCTTGGACTGCCTTTGGCTGTCCACTAGCCAAACTGCTGCTGACTGATTAAAATAAACGATGCCTGCGATGAAATCAGCATTCAGTCATTGAATGAGGAGCAACAGTCCCTACTAGACATGATTGCTAAAAAATCAGCAGCACAAATAAACAACAACAACACGACTACAACTGCAACAACATAAAGCAAACAGCATCAATTAAAACAGCTGACATCAACAATACGAAGCATTAAAACAAGTGTTGTCAGCAAAAGCTACGCACAGATTTACATGTTTCTAATAGAAGTATATGTATGTATCTTGCCAGATTCTACGACCAGTTAACAACTGCGCTGCAGCTGGAGTGCGGTGGGCGGCAGATAAGTGTGAGCGCAAATTCATATGTATGTATATTTGGGTAATGGTGAATGGTGAATGGTGAAGCGCACAACTGCGAGAAAAACATTTTCCGCTGGTCTCATCTCTCCTCTCTACATTCACCGTTCTGTGTTGCTGTGTTTTTTCAACCTTTTTCGTCTTTTACGCCGATTGGAAAAGTAACACCTGCATTCATAAATTGCTTAAAAATCACCTTGGCTGCCGGCAATTGAGAATGACAGAGTGTCTGGCGGACTGACTGATGGCCAAAGAGCTGTAGCGCCACATTTTTGTACGTAGGCAACGGCATGGCAGGGGGGAGGTGGGTACACAGCTGCAGTTGAGTTGTAAAGCTGAAAATTATCAGTGTATTGTCTACTTAGATACTTGGAATGTATGACATACATGAAAACAATGTGAGCGAAAATCCGGAAGCCACAAAAAGGCATTATGTAAAATATCAAATGTACAAAAAAGTTGCTATTTACGTGTACACCTGCAACTGCGATATCAGCAAATTGCAAAACAATAACATTATTTATTCTACTTTTACGAACACACAAACTTATACATATGTATGTAAGTATGTACTTACATAGAACCTTTTCGTTTCCTTTAACTAAACGAATCAAATAATGTAGCACGTGTGGTCGATGAATGGGATTAGACATAAGGAGCTGACGTTTGTGGCCGATTGAAATAAACAGGGTATAATTTTCAGAAGTTGTGATGAGAAAGTTCAAATCAAGTACCACAAATCTAACGAAATTGCGATTTTATTTATTTTTGAAATCAACAAATTGTTTAAGAAAATTCTTTAACGAAATTAAAACGAGAAATACACTCTCACAATTTATACGATGATTATATAGTAAGAACTTTCCCATTTTTTAGCAGAAAGTTTACTAAGTTTGTCATGAAGTTTTTAACACTTAGAATTGAAAGTCGAAACCCCTATAACAGCATGATGAGTTAAGTCGACTTAGCCATGTCCTTCTGTCAGTCCATCCGACCATCTGTCTGTATATACTCGAACTAGTCCTTCAGTTTTTGAAACATCGATTTTAAACTTGCACATGTCCTTTTCTCCTCAAAATTCTGCTCGTTTGCTCAGAATTAAGTGCTTGCTATTTTATTTGACAAGATATCTTCAAAAAATTATCTCATTCAGCGCTACAATCTCCGACAAATTTGTTCAAATCCGACCCCTAAAGCATACAGCTGCCATACAAAGGGACCAATCCTACTCACTTCCTCGTTGAAATGCGGTATAGATTATAATCTCATTCATCGCTAAAATATGATTTTATACATATTTATGATAAAACAATGCACTATTCTCTCAGTTACTATCGCGAACGCACTTGTCTTTTTCTTTTAGAAACCTCGCCTTCCAGTTGAAGGTTTTTCTTCTAAAGTATGCTTAAAGATATAATACAAGTCCGTCCGATAAAAGTACAGCATACGATGTTTATACTTCTTCTAGCTTATAGTTTGTTATTTAATACATTTAATTGTTCCATATTTCCGAAAGACTACTAAACTGCGTTTATGTCACATACCAACTTAAAAGTACATAGTATGCATGCATGTAAACTAGAATATTAAACATACATACATTGTTGTTGTCTGTTGCTTTAAGAGGTTTCGCAGATTTGTTTAAGAGTGCACAACTGTTTTGTCTCAATGAGTTTCCAATTGATGCCACTTGTGTCAGTTGCATCTGTCACCCCATCTCAATTTCCCCTGTACCGGTCCATTGAAAACATGCGGACACGACGCGTCTGTTTCTCCACAGCCGTTACTAGTATACGAGATATTTGCTATGAAATATTTAACACACTGCTCTTATCTAACATGCGAGCCCATATTTATTAAAATGTTTAGGCTCCTTCTTGATATTTTGCTTCGGCCGACTGGTCAGAGAAATAAGTATTCATTTTTTTTTTTTTTTTTGATTATAATTACGCGGGTAAAACAATTTTCTGCCTTGCTATTTGTAAACAACATATTACCTCCGTGGCTCAGGAATTTAAAATATGAACATACATAATATGTACATATGTCGAAAAGACAAATCCCGACGTCACGACGACATTAAAAGAAACAAGTTTTATTTTTATAATTTCTAGGAAAGTTTGACAATTATACAGTGCGACCTCTTCTCATTCTTTCACGTATGACGTGGCGTGTCGCAATCTGTGAAATCTATCATTCAGTAATCCACACTCTCTTTCAATATTTTGGTTGTTTTGTTGTGTAAAGTGCCGTTTAGCGCGAATCCTCATCTTATCTAGCTCCAACAAGTGCAGTTCTGACAGACAAGCAGACAAGAACATTCCCATTCACTCCTCTTCACTGAATACCACACTAAACTTCTTCCAACAATACCAACTACCAGTTCAGCTCAACTAACTAGCAGTACTACTCCATACATCAACAACACAGAAAATTGAAAGAGAGTCAGGGTAAGCAAAAAACGAAATATGTAAGTAAATCTAAGGATAACAATTAAGGATTTCTTTCCTCTCATTTCTGTAGAGCGGCTACATTGCCGTACTGCTGGTTCGTTAGTATTGTAGAAACGAAGTTTGGCTCAGTTACAGCAGTGAAGGGGAAAAAGCTCAAAACAATGGCACAAGCAACTGGAATCCATGAAATGGTAGTAGGGGATTCCCTTTGTGAAAGCGAATGCTGAAGGAGCATGTGCGTTGTCGTCTGTCTGTTTGTGTTAGGGAGTGTGCGGTGTCAGCTGTTGTTGACAACCTGCTGCAATAACAACACAAAGTGTATGGCATCGTTGATGCTTAGCAATTGTTCTGGCAGTGGGGCTGGTTTTGGCAGCAGCAGCAGCGCACATAATTTTCTCTTCTTTGTGGTGCTGAAACATCAGCGACAACTGCAGTGACAGCAAAAACAACAACACACATATGGACATACATAAATACAGACATGTAGATGCAATTACTGTAAAGAAAACTATATACATACGACGAACATATACATACATACAGAGAAATATATGTGCTTTGTACAGGGAATATGCAGT